AGACAGCAGAGAGACAGCAGATAAAGTGAGAGAAGAGACAGCAGAGAGAGGAGAGAGACAGCAGAGAAAGTGAGAGAAGAGACAGCAGAGAAAGTGAGAGAAGAGACAGATGGAAACAGGGGAGAGAGATGAGAGCGAGAAGAGAGGGACGGTTCACACCACAAAGTCTGCGTTCCAGAGTGTTCGGCCTCTAGAACGCAAGCGGTGCATTGAAGTCAATGGCACAGCAGCCACGTCCCCTGCCCCCAGTGTGATCTGCAGCATTTTTGCAGATCGCACTGGACCGGAAAACACAGGCACTAATGTGCATGCATTCCGGGTGCGGGCGAGGTTGCTGTGCTATTGACTTCAATGGACTGCCACGCCCCCTCCCGCCCCTAAATGCAGGTGTTTTTGCGTTGGTAGATCTCATTGAGCTAGTCATTTAAAAAGTAGATCTCCAGATGAAAAATTGTGGGCACCCCTGTCCTTTTTGAGAAAGTCATTGAACGAAACATGTCAAAGGAAAACCTGCCTTCATCTCTCTTAGCTGAGTGCTGCTAACGCTCAAAAGCTCGATTTTTTCGTTGTTTCCGTAAGTGCATTTGAGTTCTTTTATGAAATAAATATTTGTGTTACTGCACTTAGATAGCCTCCTCTTTGTCTCCTTCAAATTTTTCCCTGGGGGACACCATTAGGTGAACGCCGCCATTCCGGGCGGCGAGGGATCAGGTGACCGAAGGAGAAGGAGAGACCCACGCCGGTACTTGACAAGGAGACATTAGAAGGGGTTGGAAAACCAGAACTTTAAAAGACCTCTTTAACAAGGAGCCCCTCTTGGGGAATTGTCATTGAATGTTTGGAGGACTGCCGGACAGATTGATCAAGTGTCACTGAGAGAAGGAAGTTGCCCTTTCTTAAAGTGCTGTTCGTTGGTTATGCATGTAATGATACATGCCCCTTGAAATGTCAGTTTCTTTGCTGTTATTATTTTAGAGTTTTGATTTATTTGCACGTTTTTTTTGTTTTTGTTTTTTTTTGAGTATTGGAGGGCCACCACAGAGCCCCTCCTTCCTTTTCAAAGTTTGTTCACAGCTTGAATTAATATCACGATTTAAATTTTAGTTTTCTGTGTTGTTTTACTACACCGCTGGCCAGAGGTTCACGTGTTTAAAATATACATGCTGAACCAATGAGGTTGATCACTGGCACTAATTCTGAAGGTTCCAGTGTTGATTTTTATTATTCTTATTATGTTTGTGTGTTGAACCTTCTAGTCATATGTAAATAATCCACTTGAATCAATTTTTTCACACGGATTGTTGTAATTTTTACACAGATTTGTTTATTAACACTTTAGTGTGCAGTTGGTTCACATAGACCGAGCGCAACATATTTGCTTTACACCTGTCCTAGATTGTTCACTTCTCCTGCCTTCTCCAAACTCTTCACCCTTTTGTGAATAACCCTGTAAGACTTGGTTCGGAGATCTCTCTTTGCGACACAGGTACCCATAGTACAACTCAAGCAGCATCCACCTGAAACCGATCATGTATATGTACTAAAATCACAACCAGAACTGCCATTTTTGTTAGTAATTTTGCTTTTTTATATAATAAATATTCCATACAAAATATGTTACAGGGGCTTACAAAAAAACATATTAAAACATATAAAAGTATATTAACCACACGTACAGTGCAACACATCAACAAAGCTTATTCGTAGCCATTACCAAGACTGTGACTTCCCAAACTTCAGCTATATACATTAAATAGCAAAATGTTAAATACAACGTTTTACGTGCCTACACTGAACCCGATAGCTAAAGTACTAGAAACCGGAACAACAAACATTATTGTTAAGAGCCCTGAGCAAAATCAAATTGCAGGTAGAGAAACACTGGAGAAGATCCAAAGCAGCCGAGAGTCTTGCTGCGGCAAACCAGAACTCCCATGGTGCTCCTTCGGCCGGGGAGAATGATGGGAGTTTGGTCCAGCCACAAGCAAGAGTCTCAGCACGGTCCTCTAAGATTCACATATTATTGAATGGGATATTGTGACCGTTATAAATTAAATGCAACATTGTTCAAATTAAGCAGCAACACACGCATAGGTCATTGGATAGGAATGAAAAGATTGTACTAGGAACCTTTTTTTTTTGGAATACATATTACACATTTGCTTGGAAATTATTTTAGAAATTGGGAGAATTGCTATCCATACAGCTAATTTAAAGGCCTATTTTTGTTAAATATTAATAAAAGCGCCCACACTGATGAAAGAGAAAAAAAATGCGCATTTATAATGTATTCATTTTTGCATTGGAGACGGCAAAGCATTGTAAGCGTGATCGGCGGATCAGGGGTACAATGCTAAAGCTCCTGCAGACTATTTCTCCAGCCCCAGGTCCGTATGGAGGTATAGGCGTTCGGTTCTGGGGCTGGAGAAAGCACGCAATGGACCCCAAGTCCTTATGGAGGTACAAATGTTTGGTTCTGGGGCTGGACAAATGTTTGGTTCTGGGGCTGGACAAAGCATGCTATGGACCCCGTCTGTATGGAGGTACAGATGTTCGGCTTCGGGGGCTGGACAAAGCACGCTATGGACCCCAGGTCCGTATGGAGGTACAGATGTTTGGCACTGGGGCTGGAGAAAGCACGCAATGGACCCCAAGTCCGTATGGAGGTACAGACATTTGGTTCGGGGGCTGGAGAAAGCATGCAATGGACTACAAGCATATCCATTACAGCCTTAAGCTGCCTTTACTTACATAGGTAGCCATTTTGTAAGCATATAGACACATTGCCAAATCCTGACACCCACAAGGTACAAGTGCAGCTTATCCAAAGATAAGACATTGGGGGCTTTGGCCAGGATGGCAGTGAAAGAATGAGCGGCCGTCTCCCAATGGCTACTTATAATTACACTAAAGCACAACTCCTTTCTTAGCTTTGAGGATGAGTTAGAACCTCTGCGAAGTGTTCATTGCATGAAGGGATGGAAAGGTAGGGCAGGAACCCTAGGATGATCTTATTGGTATCTTTGGACAAGGTGTATGGACTCTAGGCGCCTTCTACGTGCCAAAGGAATTCCAGTTTCTTTGGCTTGTTGTGTGACTGAATGGACGTGAGATGGAAGCGCCGCACCACTAGTTGGTTGTCCGGAATCAAATTTATTCCAATAGGAGACTTTTCTTCCCATTATATCGAGATTTAATTTTTTCTTCTGTTCCGACCAAAAGTGAAGGGAAATCTCCCAAATCAGGGCACAGGCAGTAATAAAACCTGACAAGGAGTATAAACCATCACCACCATTAAAGCTCCAGTGTTAGCTATATTGATAATGCTATAACTGCAATATCAATATATACCACTAGATGGCGTCAAACTACATTAAATATTGTGGAAAAGGGCATTTTAAACACTTTATATGTATAACCTTTATATTTATTTATAATATATAAATTAATATTATATAAATATCCTCTGGGTCTAAGGCCAAGTTTAGCTGCAAATTTTAGGAGTAGGGATGTACCGAATACTGATACCGGTACTTCTGGTAGCATGGAGCCGGCTTCCCGGACGATCAGGGTAATGACGCGCTGCCTGCCTTCTTGATTGCCTGAGAAGCCGATCCATGCTGTTTGGCCAGCTCCATGATGATTGACTGGGAAGCCGACTTCCCTGCCAATCAGGAAGCTGGGAGGCGGGTTATTACTCGCTGCATGGCTTTCTGATTGGTCTGGGAAGCCGGCTCCATGCTAATTGACTGGGAAGCCGGCTTCCCGGCCAATCAGCAATAAGCCGGCATCCAGGCCAATAAGGAAACTGGGTAATTACCTGCGACCAGCCTTCCTGATTTGCTGAGAAGTCGCGTCCATGTTCCCTTGCAGCACTGCTGGTCCGAGGAAATCTTCCTCTGACCGGAAGTTCCAGTATCAGGATACATACCAGAGCATTTGGGCAAGTACGAGTACTCGCCCAAATACTCGGTATAGGTGCATCCCCTAATTAGGAGTAATCAGAAAATGATGATGCATATTTAAAATTGAGTCAGCGCGGTGGTGTAATTAACCTTGTGCCTTGTGGTCAAGCAGAATATTAAAAATGAGTCATTGCGGACTGGGTTACAAGCAACCAACGTAGATATTAAGTAGAACGCTTTCGCCAACCAAGAGGATGTCCAGCATCTCTGGAGGCTTCAAGCACAAGTCTGAAATTGTAGGTGTCCACGCAAGCAGCTCAAGCCAAAGTATTAAGTAGAACGCTTTAGCCAACCAAGAGGATGTCCAGCATCTCTGGAGGCTTCAAGCAGGACTATGAAATAGGTGTCCACAGCAAGCGGTGCACACCAAAGCAAATGGCATAGTTTTCAATCTGGTCCCCAAACTAATTACATTATAAAACAAGATAATTAGCTGTATGTTTTCTTTTCTGACCAAAATTATGACCAAGGGCCTTTGTTCTGGCCTTAAAACTTCCATGGTCACCAATTTTGGTCATGAACTGGCCTTTCCGAAACCACAAAGTAAGGTCCCAGGTCTGAGGGAATGCTAACAAAGGTGTACGTCACAGACATAGCCTCTAGCAGAGACTTCCAGCAACCAATCCGTTATTGTTCAAAAGTGGAGAGGATTGGGAGCAATGACGAGATACAGGTGGTACAGGATATTTAAAGGTCACGTTTAAAAACAAAACATGATTCTTACATTGTGCTTTTCTAAGATAATATATCTTAGTGCTCCAATTTCCTCACCACCAGTAGCGGGAAACAAAGGTGACAGTTCCATTCCCCGTCTAGAATACACCTCTGATGGTGTTCAGCTATGTTGGACGGCATCTTAAATCCCTTCCAGTGCGTTATAGGCCAGGCTCCCGAGCGGAGACTTTGTGCTAATAAAAGCAAAAACTGTCTCAGTAGTTTCTCCCTGAGTTTTTGTACAACAATGTCAAATCTGGACCTTCAAAACAGGTTCAGCTTTGGAGGAACCCATAGAATGATTTCCATTGGCTCAAAAAACAACTTCCAAACGGTAAACGATAGAGGTCTTCCAGCGGTCGAATCACAACAGTCCTTGCAGTTTATATTTTAGCTGTCGGCAGGATGTGGGGACTTCTTGGACTTCCATTTGCGATAGCCGCCCCTGGTTTGCATGTTGGTGTAGTACTTTGGGACCAGGTAATAGACCGTCATGGGCTGGTAGGCTGGAATGAAGCTCACGTTGCTCCTAGGGTAGTGATAGTAGACTGCGGACGCCGGAGCCGGGTTGTAGTAGAACTGGGCACCCTGATATAAAAAAAGATAACAAATTGTTAGTGTGTGCCTTAACACTGTCAAAGACAATCAGTGCATTACACCCGAATGGGAATGTATAATGGTTGTATAAAATATCATTATGGTAAATATTTGTAAAATGTTTGGTGAATTTAACACATGCCCCATCAGAGCAGTGACCCCCCTTCCCTTCTCTCCCACCTCACCACCTGATTGCCCTGCGCGCAGAAAAAGTACAAAAAACACCCAGTATGGAGCTGGTTTCCCCTTTACACCCTCAACTCTACTGGGAAGGCTTTGTGAGGTCAGGTACTGATGTTGGTTAAAAGGACCTGATTCACAAATGGCTATCCAACTCATCCCAAAGGTGAACAGTAGGATTGGGTCGGGGCTCTATGCAGACCAATCGAGTTCCTCAACACTCATCAAACCATTCAAGAGATAAAACTGACCCCAAGTCATCATAGATATATATATATAAATAATTATTGTTCTTATACAGGATTTATATAGCGCCAACAGTTTGTGCAGCGCTTTACAATATAAGGAAGACATTACAATTACAATACAATTCAAGACAAGATGGTAAGGAGGGCCCTGCCCGTAAGGGCTTACAATCTAAAAGGGAGGGGCAAGTGATACATGAGGAGGTAGCTGTGTGGGGATGAATTGTTTGAGAACGTGATGGTTGAGTGGATAGGTTGAGGGTTGAGGTGGGATAGGCTTCCCTGAAGAGATGAGTCTTAAGGGATCGCCTAAAGGCAGTCAGAGTGGTAGACAGACGGACAGGTTGGGGTAGAGAGTTTCATAGGATGGGAGAGACTCTAGTGAAGTCCTGGGGGCGAGCATGGGAGGAGTTGACAAGGGAGCTGGAAAGCAGGAGGTCTTTTGAAGAGCGGAGCTGACGGTTAGGGTGATACTTTCAGACCAGGTTTGAGATATAGCCGGGGGCAGAGTTGTGGATGGCTTTGCAAGTGGTTGTTAGTTTTTTGAATTTTATCCTTTGGGCGAGTGGAAGCCAGTGGAGGGATTGACAGAGGGGGTTGCAGACACTGAACGGTTGGTTAGGTGAATGAGTCTGGCAGCTGCATTCACGATAGACTCAAGGGAGGATAACCTGTGTAGTGGAAGGCCAATGAGGAGGGAGTTGCAATTGTCAAGACGAGAGATAACAAGTGAGTGGATGAGTAATTTTGCGGTTTCATTGGTGAGGAGCGGGCGTATTTTGGAGATGTTACGAAGGTGAAGGCGGCAGGACATATATACATCTATATATATATATAAATTTGGGACATAACTTAGAATAGAAACCTCTAATGGTATTTCCTTCTCTATAATGGAAGGGTGGATAGGAACCACAAAAACCCAGATCAGCTGACTCAATGAACTGAATCACTACAGAAGGATGTCTACTTGGTGACTCATAACCGCAGCTTAAACAATTATTAGGGAGATCCAGGCCCGCAGGAAAACTATGACACGTGACATTTTACATCCTACTATTCCCAGCAGTTGAATGAATAAACTTTGATTCATAAAAACATGCTTTGGACATAAAGGGCTTCAGCAGCACTGCCGCCTAACAGAACTGAGAACCTAGTTTCCAGCCAAGGCAACCCCCAATTTGCATAGAGTTCGTATACTCCAACTGTGTGAACTTCCTCTTAAAATCCAAAATGAGGTCAGGCATAGCAGCCCCAGTGTTTCTCTGATGACAGATGCACTTATAGCCACTTACGGGTTTTTGGGTGTCTATCTTTGGGGTGGTCTTGTCCTTGCCGCCAACACTTTCCTCGTCCTCGCTGGAGCACTCGGAGGGTGATCCTGTGGTGTCTGAGCCATCGGAGTGATAGTCTGAGGTTTCCAGGTCAGATTTGTCTGAGCCTTGATCTTTCTTGGACTCTTCGGGCACTGGAGCTTTCACTATAAAGGGACAACAGCTCTCTCCAAGCCTGGTGAAATAGAACAAAGGGGTCAATGAAAACTGTGCATGCAGGCTTTACAAACACATAATATACCTGGCACTTATATGGATCAGTGCTGTGGAAGGGTCTACAATACTTCCAGTTTTAGGTGGTCTCTATAATTGCCAATCTGAACTCCAGGCAAGCGGCTAAATACACATATGAAATACGCAGTTGCGAACTGTCCTATCTGCCAAAGGATTTGCAATTCTGTGATGCATACACCTCTTCCAGACAGCACAGCCAAGATGGTGCCACCACTTCCTCTGTTACAGTTGAGAAATACAGTGGTGTCACCTTCCTGAACCTACCCAACTTCAATGGTACTAAAGCAGACTACTGTCACTCAATACGACTTACCTACAGCTGACCTCTTTGGGGTCAATCCAGATGGACATGTTTTTGGGCAAAGCCAGCTGCGAGCAGCGCAGGCCACTCTTGACACAGGCCTGTAATACAGAGTCATCCACCAAGAGGTTTTTCTCAATCCGTATACACCTGAAATAAGGAAGGTGAGGGATTAGCACAGAAATAAATGATGGGTCCAATAAAACGCACTGGACAAGATTAATTAATATTCAAGTAAAAAGCCCAACTCCGGTAAAAGTTTTTAAAGATTTAGTTGGTGGACAAGAGTTAGAACTCTTCCTTTCACTTCCTGTTGCTGTGTCACCAGAGAAAGGGAGACAGGTGTCACCAGGACAGGAAGGCGCAAACAACAAGCATTGTTTAGGAGGAGGTCAGCATTAGTAGCCTCCATATGTTACTAGTGCTGTTCCTGAGAATGGGTTCTGAGTGGGCTTAACAACTTTTCTGTCTGTTGCCTATAAGAAGTACTCTCAAAGGCTAGACCCCCCTAAAAGTTTTTGGGTGTTGCCCACAATTGTGGGTTCCAGCTCCTCATGTAACATTCTCCATAATATAAAATAAATGGCAGGAACTTCACATAATGGCCACAGCAGGTATGCAGACCCAGGAACCCAGCAAAGGGATGGTGGGAACCCTTCATAATGGGCACAGCAAGTATGCAGACATAGGAACCCAGCAAAGGGATGGTAGGAACCCTTCATTATGGCCACAGCAGGTATGCAGACCCAGGAACCCAGCAAAGGGATGGTGGGAACCCTTCATAATGGGCACAGCAGGTATGCAGACACAGGAACCTAGCAAAGGGATGGTAGGAACTCTTCATTATGGCCACAGCAGGTATGCAGATCCAGGAACCCAGCAAAGGGATGGTGGGAACTCTTCATAATGGGCAAAGCAGGTATGCAGACCCAGGAACCCAGCACATGGATGGTGGGAACCCTTCATTATGGCCATAGCAGGTGTGCAGACCCAGGAACTCAGCACAGGGATGGTGGGAACTCTTCATAATGAGCAAAGCAGGTGTGCAAACCTGGGAACTGAGCTCAGAGATCTCACCAATAGAGTCCCTGAGAGATAGAAGAAACGATCAGATGGTTTAACTCTGCAGAATTTACCAAAATCTGAAATATCAGTTGTGCGTGGACTGACCTTTTAACATGACATTTTGTTGACCGCTTCGGGAGAGTTTTTTATTGACTGTGATCATGAAACCAAAAGGAGGAAGTGCATTGGAAGGAATTAGGAACGTCCCTTGTGAAAGGGAATTTGGTGGAAAATACCATGTACTCTTTCACAGTGAGACAGTACACTCCCATCACTCCTGAACAACACCACCAAGAACTCGGGAAACTAACTGATTATGGGGCAACTTTCTAAAACAACATTTGCTGTACTAGACAATATTTTAAGGGATTGTACAGCTGGCTTGTATAAGTATTCACCCATAGCCGTTGGTTGGTGTTTTACCTTATGGCAAAGGCACTGGACAGGTTAACGTAACTCCCCCATCCCAACAGCATGAGGTCACGTCCCTTTGCTCCCTTGGTTCCGCTAGAGAAGTCACCCTGTGTATGTTATGAGTCGTAGCTTACACAGGGGTATGAACTCTCCTCATGCGACAGCATTGGTGAATGGGTGACCTTACTATGTGGGTTGCTATCAGCAGACACTGTCACATTGCCCTGAATGGGGCTTAAAGTGCTTTGTTAAGTGCACTAAAAGACCTACTAATAGGCAACCAAGGTTTTGGTTTTCATACATAAAGTAGACCAAGTGGTTCCAACCAAGTAGACCAAGTGGTTCCAACCAAGTAGACCAAGTGGACCAAGTGGTTCCAACCAAGTGGTTCGCTCATCAAACCTTTCAAGGTCCTCCTCACTCAATGACTCTCTTACCGGTAGGCCTGTCCTTTCTGCGGGCTGTCTGGGTACCAATGTCCTTCGAATTTGTTGCACAGGATGGCGGTCAGAGTCTCTGTAAACCTTTCCACCTGCTTACTGTCCAGTTTCTGGTGACGATTCAGCAGCCTTACGATGTAAGACGCCCCGAGCTTAACCTCCTCATGCATCTTCTTTACTACTGTTGGTATTGCACTCCTGAAAATAAACATACATACAACATTAACCAATGTATATAAACATTATGTATTTTCTGTAAATAGACAGGAAAATCAAGAGAATAAATGTTATTGCCACTCAGATGAGAAAGTAAAAATATTTTTCACAGCAAGTTATAGTAGCTACAAAACACAAATGCAGTTAACCAAAACACAAATGCAGTTACGTCAGTGGTGGAAAAGTTCATAAGGAATTCAGGAGCCAGCTGGATTTTTTTAGGAGTTCCATAGACAGCAACTAGAGAGAACCTCAAAAGTTAGACGCCATGTGTAATTTTCAAGGAGCATTGGCGACCTAGCTCCTACGATAGGTCCAGCCCTAAGTTCCCCAACACGAGAGCTACTTATGTTCAAAAAGGAAATACTGTACTTAAAGTAGATGTAAACCCAAAGGGCCCGTTCACACCTGCCTGGCTACACCATTCTCTATGTTTTAGGAGGCCCTTTATCACATTCCTCCTATGTTATGCACCCTCCTATATGGCCACAATATGGAATTCAGGAGCCAGTCTGTCCAATTCAGGAGCCAGTTGGATTTTTTTTTAGGAGCTCCATAGACAACAACTAGAGAGAACCTCAAGAGTTAGGCGCCAGGTGTAATTTTCAAGGAGCATTGGCGACCTGGCTCCTACGATAGGTCTAGCCATGAGTTCCCCAACACGAGAGCTACTTATGTTCAAAATTAAAATACTGTACTTAAAGTAGACGTAAACCCAAAGGGCCCATTCACACCTGCCTGGCTACACCATTCTCTGTGTTTTAGGAGGCCCTTTACCACATTCCTCCTATGTTATGCACCCTCCTATATGGCCATAATATGGAATTCAGGAGCCAGCTGGATTTGTTTTAGGAGCTCCATAGACAACAATTAGAGAGAACCTGAAAAGTTAGGCGCCAGGTGTAATTTTCAAGGAGCATGGGCTGTGTGCCTTGTGCAGGGGTGGTGCTATGTGTTGTTAGAATGCACCACACGGTTTTGGTTTTGGATCTTGCCTATTACTGCTGCCCCTACCAGAGGCCAACAACCAAGTCACATGAAAAAATTCAAAATTAATAATTTTTTTACAAACACACAACTGTATACATCTGTCTAGAGTTCAGCTTTAAGCTGCCGCCACTTAGAGGGCCAAGTCCAGGACAATAAACAGTGAATGTTATCACCGACACATTGCCAGTCAAACATTGAATGACTAAACCACTTCCTGAAAACGCACAAAAGGTCTTTCAGTAATAGCCTTCCCCAACCCCACTTCCTCTTGCATGCAAAATCACCAGTAGGTGTAAGAGGATGACGGACGGAGGATCAGATGATGACACCACTTTGTAACAGCAGCTCAGCCTGCAGCTCGCCATCTGTGACTCGGTGTCAGTCTTTCCTTTACCGTCTGTTTCATCAGCTCAGCAGACAAAGCATTTACTGTGGATGAGCTGGCTGGGACAGAACACGCTATGTGCAGAGTCAGGCAAGGTCGGCGTACAAGAACTGGCTGCGCTGAGTGTGCACAAAGTGATGCACCTGAATTACTGCGTGTACTGTGCCTTGTACAAAAAAAAGAGCAGGAAGACACAAAGACACTTGCTAATCAATGCTTGCATATCATAGAAAAGAGAGTATATCTAAGCCAAAATAGGATTTTTATACTCACAGTAAAAACCCTTTTCTTTTAGTCCATTGTGGGACACAAGAATTCAGGTACAGTTGTTTTTGCTAGTGTCCAATCCTCCTGTAGGAGGCCACATAACCTGACTGTATCTGAATTCCTGTGTCCCTCAATGGACAACAAAGAAAATCGTGTCTTTGTGTTCACTGTAAAATCTTTTTCTAACAGGGTTATTCACAAAAAGGTGAAGAGTTTGGAGAAGTGAACAATCTAGGACAACATAGCCGAACTGGAAAGTGAGCTGAATTGGAGAATTCTTCCAAATCAGCTACTTTGGCCTAGATTAATCACTTCCCCTGCCTTCTCCAAACTCTTCACCCTTTTGTGAATAACCCTGTAAGAGTCCATTAAAGGACACAGAAATTCAGGTGCAGTCCTTTCTTGCTAGTGTCTAAACCCTTATGTGTCTGGCAGTATAACCCAACTGTGTCGCTAAATGGACGAGAAAATAAATTAGTATTATTATAGTCACCCTAAAATCCTTTACTTGCAGTCCATTAAGGGACACTGGAGCAACCAGTTTGGTGAGGGCGACACGTTGTGGTTTTATGGAATTCCTAATAAACTACTATAGGGAATTCTCACCACTACAAAAAATATCCAAAGCTAGCCAGTAATTTTGCCCACCGAGAACTCGTTCAAGTTTGCCTTCAAGATGTTTAAATACAACTCATAGCTTCCCCGGTTCTAACCTCCTATATATATATATACAGGGCTCGAAAAATGCACTCGTCCACTCGTCTGTGACGAGTGGACGCCAGTGCTGGACGAGTAGCTTCCCGACCGGCTGTTGTAATTAAACGGCCGGCCGGGAGCTTTACATTCATTTTAACTCTCTCACGCCGCCCGCGGCGAACTGAGGAGCAGGAGAGCTGCCGCCGGCCAGTGGACTGCATTACCCAGCAGTCACCCTGGCGCAACGGAGGTGTGGCCGTGAGGAGACGGAAGGGGCTTCCGAGGAATATATATATATATATATACCTGGGCTGGTTAAATCACAGGAGCAAGGTAGCTAATGTTGCATTAAAATCACAGCTGGCATCTAACTTTTGAGGTTTACTTTACTTAATTTTAATGGAACGGACTCCTAAAAAAAATCATGCTGACTACTGGATTGGGCAAACAGGCTCCTGATTAATTTGTCTACCCCTGATATAGACAATATACATTATCTCAGAGCTGGAAAATTCCCAGGAACCAGGTAGCCAGCACTCCCTAAAAATTACAGCTGGTGCCTAACTTTTGAGGTTTTTAGTTGTTGTCTATGGAGCTCCTAAAAAGTTCCATTGTTCCAAGTTCCATTCCACTGTGTCTCCATTGGGGAGATATCAGAATGTAGTAGATCCCATCGCACTCCTGACCGGATAGAGCCCAAACGAAAAACTGGGGGGGTGCCGAAAGTGACCGCGGATGCCTCCGCACATCGAATGCAAATACCATGAAGTCACTCGCACTCTGTTTGTAGATAGCAGTCAATCTCCTTTATTGACTGAACATAATGTCACATAACAAAGCGACGTTTCGGGTACTTTTGTTTGCCTTAAAAAGGGACTGCCCAGTCCTAAAACGTCGCTTTGTTATGTGACATTATGTTCAGTCAATAAAGGAGATTGACTGCTATCTACAAACGGAGTGCAAGTGACTTTATTGTATTTGCATCCATTGGGGAGATGTCCCTGCACTTCAGGTCCCAAGAACACTACAGCGAGTTGAGATCTCCCCAAAACGATGGTCAATTCTACCTCTGACACTTGAGACCCGAACAAGGGACCCAAATCAAAAAATTTCCCAACCAAAAGTGTTAGATCCCTTTTCTTTTTCTCCACCGGTGACTATGGCCCCAGGACAAACAGATCTCACCAATGGGTACACAGGCAGCAATACATAAAATGACAAACATCATGACCCTTTAATACTCAAACGAGGAAAAAAAACGTTTTGGTTAGAGTCCATTTTTTCGGCTTTAAAGGAGCAAATAGGGTCGGGTGAAAGGTTCTACAGGGTAACGTTAAGGATTTATGAGTTTGAGCAGCAAAACATTTTATTTACAAAGTCTCACTGACCTGCATAACTTTCACTCAAAGTATTTACAACGTGAAGGAAGAAAAACATTTAAAGATCAGCTGAGCAGGTTATGCAAATTGTCTTGGGAGGGTAATACCAGGAAAATCATCTGCACAACAGTTTCCCTGAAGTGAACTGAACTTCGCGTGTTTACCTTCCACTGAAACACAACAGCTATTCAATGGCTTGCCTGGAATTTCCCAGAATTACTTTTCAGGAGCCTTCAAAATTCCCTAAATCTTCACCATTTCTCAGTTAGCTGGCCAAAGTACTGAAAAGGTGTATGGAAGCCGCAATACAAGTTCAGAGCATTTCAGGCTGGCCATACATTGATCTATTTTTTTTTTCGCTCAACACGCGGGCTGAAGGAAAAAAATATACTCCATTCCTCCATCAACACTAACAGTGTGTCCATCGAGGAATCCCCGTTGTTTACATACAGCGGCTCCCGGCACCTGTCAGAATACCCAACCCGAGTGGGCAGCTCATTGGCTTCCGGTTCTGATCGTTCAAAAATGTTCTGCCAGGCTCCTTCCATCAGCTGATCGAGGGATGCCGGCCGAAAGGGTGCCAACAGCACCACCCACTGTGTGAATTCACACAGTGTATTGCCACCTTTAGACAGTCTTAGGACCTCTAGTTGAGGAGGGACTACAACTACCCCTGCTAACCATGGGACAATCCTGAGTAGGGATGAGCTCGAGTTTCGAATGAACCCATGCTCTTCAAACCCAGGAGGAAGCCAACAGTGCTAGCTAGGGATGCACCGATATCGATACTAGTATCGGTGCCGATACCGAATATTTGGATGAGTACTCATACTGGCCCAAATGCTCCCGATGCCTATCCCGATACCAGATACCGGCCCCATGCTTCCTGGTCACCTAGTGACGAGGAAGTGTGGAGACAGCTTCCCGACCAATCAGGAAGCCGGGCCCTGTGTAATGACTATTCTATATTGAAGAATTACAGATTAAATGGTCAGTCCACCCAAAATAGATGTGAAAGTGTTTGGTGGATGAACTACCTGAGAGTCTCTTCTATCACTGTACAAAGTTCCCGGGTCTGCACACCTGTGGTGCCCATTATGAGGAGTTCCCATCATCCCTGCTGGATTATTATTTTTTATATCATGGAGAATGTAACAGGAGGAGCTGGAAAACACAAGGTGGGTGGGAAGACCCAAAATTCCCAGGTGGACAAGAACAGATTTAGGAATTATGGCAGGGAGATCTCACTGTTGGAGGATCGAGTATATATTAGAAGCCATGGGATAAACTCCGTTCACCAGGCTCCATCTATACCAAAAATATCACTTATGATTGCAAAATTCTGCAACTATTAAATCATTAATCCGCTCATTCCAAAGAAAACCGAATTAACTTCCTACTACACGCACGCCATATGTTGACCTACTCCAGTAATGAGGTAAATTTCGGTATCCAGGTGAGACCAAGAATCCATATAACAATTGCTTCTACCTTGGGTTTCTTAAGGTCAACATTTCTTTTTGTGCCAGATGATGGATGCAAAGTCACATGTCAGGACATGGCCTTGTGGATTCACCCTAAATCATTTTTAGCCATGGACGTCAAGCCAAGTTTTGTGTACTTTACAATAAATGTCCTTGTGGTACAAGATCAAAGTAATGTTCAAGGTCATGTTTTGTTTGGTAGGAGCCTTATTGTGCACCATCCAGTTTTATGATATACACACACACACACCAATTTTCAGGCAATTTGAACTATCTTTCCATATAAATACCTAATGGATTAAGATAACCTACCACCAACCACTTCTACCAGAGGGTAATATGATCTAAAATGTTGGTGGTTGGCCATCTTGATCTGTTTGGTTGTTCTTGTGATGACAAAGATGGGCTTGTCCTGAAAACCTCTGGCCCTTGTCTCTAAAGCATGTTCCCCATCTCCTAAATTCTACACCACAGTGCTGTTGATGACTCTTAAAAAGGATGACCACCACATCAATAGGCCACCTCACCGTTCAAGGGCAATATCAGCAAGAATGGAGATGCTGAGAGTTGTAGTCCTGCCACACCTAAAGAGTCACAGATGGGCTTGTCTGGAAAACATGTGGCCCTTGTCTTTAGCCAGCTGGACCACATGTTTCCCATCTCCTAAACTATACACTGACATGCTGTTGATGACTCTTAATAAGGATGACCACCACATCAATAGGCCACCTCACTGTTCAAAGGGCAATCTCAGCAAGAATGAATATGCTGAGAGTAGTTGTCCTGCCACAACTAAAAAGTCAGATGGGCTTGTCCTGAAAAAATCTGCCCCTTGTCTCCAGCCAGCTGGACCACATGTTCCCCATCTCCTAAACTCTTCATTGCCATGTTGTTGTTGACTATTAAAGAGGATGACCACCACATCAATAGGCCACCTCACCGTTCAAGGGCAATCTCAGCAAGAATGGAGATGCTGAGAACTGTACTCCTAACACAACTAGAGTCACAGATGTGCTTGTCCTGAAAACGTCTGGCCTCTGTCTCCAGGCAGCTGGACCACATGTTCCCCATCTCCTAAACTCTTCATTGCCATGTTGTTGTTGACTATTAAAGAGGATGACCACCACATCAATAGGCCACCTCACCGTTCAAGGGCAATCTCAGCAAGAATGGAGATGCTGAGAACTGTACTCCTAACACAACTAGAGTCACAGATGTGCTTGTCCTGAAAACGTCTGGCCTCTGTCTCCAGGCAGCTGGACCACATGTTCCCCATCTCCTAAACTCTACAATGCCATGCTGTTGTTGACTGTTAAAAAGGATGACCACCACATCAATAAAGAGACTACCTCAAAGCTCAAGGGCAATCTAAGCAAGAGTGGAGATGCTGAGAACTGTAGTCCTACAACTAAAGGGTCATTGATGGACCGGTCCTGAAAACTTCTGGCCCCTATCTTCAGGAAGCTGGACCACATGTTCCCCATCTCCTAAACTCTACAATGCCATGCTGTTGATGACTATTAAAAATGATGACCACCACATTAATAAAGAGACCACACCACCATCCAAGGGCAAAGAAAAAACTTTTGGACCTGGTCGCTAGCCAGCAGGACCACATGTTCCCCATCTCCTAAACTCTACATCACAGTGCTGTTGATGACTATTGAAGAGGATGACCACCACATCAATAAAGAGACCACCTCATCGTTCAAGGGCACAGAAAATCTCAGCATGAATGGAGATGCTGGGAGTCGTAGTCTTGCCACAACTAAAGCAGCCCTAAACTTTATTTGGGGGTGGCGTCACCCAACTTAAGTTCTTCAACAAACAGTAAAAATGGGTCATCGGTCTTTTTAGGGAACCGCTGATACAACCTAAGGGGTTACAATTGATCGATATGGGTTAATAAAAACTTTCTATCCCCCCCCCGGAGCTGATGGTAGAAGGGACGGATGCGCCGCTTACCCGCCTGGATGTCCTCCGCCGCCCGCGTGTTCTTTGTGTCTAACTTTCAGCGTGGTGAGCCCGGACTTCCCAGTACAGCTTATGAGTCACAGCAAAGGGGTGGGAATCCCCGGGGTGACGTCACACTCCATACATGGACATCCTGGGGACTGCAACAGCTGTCATTTCGCAGAAGGAGATCGCGGAGGGACGAATTGCGCTGTGTACCCGGGCAGTGTGGCCCCTGGGGAAGGGGGAGAGCCAGGAGGAGCCAGGCCAGGAAAGGTGTTAATTAAATTGACAGTTTCATTGAATAGTTCACCTTCAACTGTTATGTCTTTTAGTTTGCATTTAATGTGTACAGAAAGCTTAAAGGGGCATTCCACTTGCCCTAGGAGCACATATCCACAGGGGCCAGAAACCCCACAGGGACCAACCGCCACCCAATGTGTCTTGGGGCTGAGAAAATGAAGATCTGAGAGTAATGGGATGATCAGAACTAGGGCTTCATTGTGTACGCATGATCAAGCATTTTGGGCCCCAGTAATCGCCCATGGGACCAGTGGGGAACCTAGATATTCTGTCACTCAGGGCAAAGGCTCAGAGTTGCTCACCCCCAAGGGAGAAGTTCCCCATCCACACACCCAGTGGTGCCCCTTCTAAAGTGGCACCCAGGGCACATGTCCCCCCAGGCCTGCATTCAAGTACCCTATTAACAAAAACGTATCTTATTTGGGTATCACTTGGCTGTAGATCTGCAAATCATCTTCTTCCTTCTGGAGGGTGGCAACAGGACAAGGCACGTAAAACAAGCGCCTGCTCCTTCTAGTAACGTGCCTTCCGTTGGATAAAACAAGAACACTCAAGCTTGAAAACATGTAAAAAAATAAATTAAAAAAAAGTGCATATAAAAGCACAAAAGGGACCAAAGATTTACCAAAAATGTAGACTAAAGACCCGTTCATACTTAGGCATGCATTATCGGTGCAACAGATTGCATTGATTTTTGTTCAATAGCATTGCAATGTGCTTACACCAAGTAATGACCACACGCACCCCCATAGTGTGCCAGCAAGCATGTGTCATGTGGTGTTTTTTGACCCATGGACACACATTGAAGGCCCTTTGTGAATGAGTGCATCAGCCTGGCAAAGAATGCATGGACACGCGTGTGAATAGGACCAGGTGAAATGTGCTGGGGACAGGTTATTTTTTTTGCCCCTTGGATGTGCATTGAGGGTCCTGTGCGAATGAGCATGCCAAAAAATGCATGAAAACGTGAGCACATAGAGCCTTAGGCTCAAAAATGCTGCCTACAATGTATAGTGTTGTACACATCTGGGGGTAAGGGTCAGAACCCCCCTTCTGGATCTTCCTTCTCTACCGGTTCTGATGACCATTGTCATTGGGAAAGAAATGAATGGGAAATCCCAAAATGTTACAGCTGTCACCAAAACAGAAGGTCAGGGCCAGTCTCCCAATGGGGGGACACCTGTCCTGGTGACAACTGTTGCTCTGCTGCATTGCAAGGTTCTATGAACTCTGTCAGGCTTCAAAAATGTGTTCAATGTCTGTGTCCCCCTGGCAGGCCTTGTGGTTCCTCACGCCATCAATACTGTGTTCTGTAATGCTCCACCAGACGTGAAGATTTTTGGAGCAGCTTTGCAATGCAACAGATCAATGTTTCTGCACGGACCAAGTAAGTGTGACCTCTCTTCCTTTATGGGATTTTTTTTTTTCTTCAAATTATTTAGTGACAGGGTCACTCTAAACATACCTTGCGGGCCAAGTCACATATAAGTTAAAGTAGAACTGAAGCCAGATCTTTTTTATAGATTTTTTACAGAGTAGAGAGGGGTTAGAATGTCTGTCAGGTTTTTATTGCTGTCTGTTTCCCTGTTGGGGAGATTCACCCTCTCTATTTGCCCTGGGCTGGTGGTGCATGTTACCAGTTGGGGCTGGGGCTGGGGGTGGTTGTTCATGTTACCAGTTGGGGTTGGTGGTGCATGTTACCAGTTGGGGCTTGTGCTGGTGGTGCACGTTACTTCTGTCTGCCCAACCCGCCGATGTCACTGGTTGCCAGGGGCTGGGCGAGAAGCTGGCCAGAACGTCACAGGTAGCTAAGCTCTTCGCAAACTGTGACACTCTGGCTGGAAAGGGGGCCATGGGCACACCTGCCACCTCCCTCCCACATGACCCTAAGAGATGCCACCTGAGGCAACCACCTATAGCTGCCTCGTCATAGGGACAGCCCTGCCCATGCACATTACGGTATGACAATTGTTTTCCTTTCATGGCTAGAATTTTATTTGTTCAGATAGAAAAAAAAACGTGTGAAATATCCCATTCTGCTCCTTTCATTTTCGTGAAAAACAAACATCGATTTGACCCCCACTGACCATCAACCGATCGAACGAACATTCCAGAAACAAAAATTGTTGAAATTCTATTGGTGGATGGCCAGTTTATAGCTAAGGAAGAAAAAGTTTTGCCTGGAGATTCAGTCTAACGATTCCGGAGGATCCCGCACTTTGCATGATGGTGGTGCTGGCGTGTATGTAGATCAGATAAGAGGAAGGTAATCAGGGGAACAGTTAAACAATTAGGTGAAAAGCTTTTTTGTTTATTGTCAGGCTGGGACAATGGAGGGAGATGTATGGCGGCAACACCCGCTTGTTTGTTGAGAAGATTGGGCCCGGAGATCAGAGGACGACGTTCATTAACATCATTACGTAAAGTCCCCCAACTGCCACTTTAATTGTCATACTGAAGTGTACCTGGCACCAAGAGATACTCAACTGCAATCTAATTCCCCAAAACTGGGCACACGGAACAATTGTGTCCATCAGAAGGGACAATTCCTGGGGGAAACCCAATCAAATGTGACCATTTTTGAGTGTGTGGAACAATCATTTTTGAACAAAGGATCATTAAAAATGGATCACATGTATCATGTAAATGATGAACAATAACCCCGTGTATCATGTAAATGATGAACAATGACCCCGTGTATCATGTAAATTATGTTTAATGATCACAAGAAACATGTAAATAATCTTTAATGAACACATGTATCACGTAAAATGATCCCACATATCATGTAGATGATGTAAAATGATCACATGTATCATGTAAATGATATAAAATGATCACATGTATCATGTAAATGATGTTCAATGATCACATGTAATGTATCACGTAAATGATGTTCAATGATCACATGTATCATGTAATTGATGTAACATGATGACAAGTATCATGTAAATTATGAACAATGATCACAGGAAACATGTACATAATGTTCAATGATCACATGTGTCATGTAAATGATGTTCAATGATCACATGTATCATGTAAATGATGTAACATGATGACACGTATCATGTAAATTATGAACAATGATCACAGGAAACATGTACATGATGTTCAATGATCACAGGAGACATGTACATAATGTTCAATGATCCCATGTATTATGCAAATGATGTAACATGATGACACATATCATGTGAATGATGTTCAATGATCACATGTATCATGTAAAATATGTAAAATGATCACATGTATCATGTGAATGATGTTCAATGATCACATGTATCATGTAAAATATGTAAAATTATCACATGTATCATGTACGTGATGTGCACTGATCACGTGTAAATGATTGCTGGTCTATCCTCACATCTGGTCTCATCGAGGTATAACAAATTGGGAAATATGGACACGTGACGCATTTTTTATATGTGTTCCATGCCTTGCCATTAACTGTAATGTGACACACACTTTTACCAAAATATACAAAAGATAAAGCAGTATTTTTAAACAAGTGAACGTATTGCCCTCTAACGCAATGCACTGATGTGGAGAGACTCATAGCAAGCCACACACACAAAAAAATCCAACGCGTTTTGGGGAATGAATACTCCCCTTTCATCCGGGCTGGAAAACAAGATAAATTAAAGAAGAACTCCAGGCAAATGAAATCTTAACCCTTGCAGTGGTGCTCCCCCCCGCACTGCAAGGTTACATGCTCGTTTGTCTAGGGAGCTAAAATAACAAAGCTATTCTCACCCGAACAATGATCCCAGCTGGCTCCTAGGCTGGTCCCCGCAGTCTGTATCCGTCTCCTCTCCAGCGATGGCATGTCCCTCGGCATCCTCAAGTCCTATACACAGTATGAAAACGAGCACTTAACCCTTGCAATGCGAGGGGTAGCACCACTGCAAGGGTTAAGCTTTTATTTGCCCGGATTTCTTCTTTCATTTATCTTGTTTCCCAGCCCTGATGAAGGGGGAGTATTGATCCTCCCAAAACGCGTTGGCTTTTTAAAATTTTTCTTCTTTAATGATAAGGTGAAATAAAGTTGAAAAAACGAGTTGGATTTTTCTTGTGACTTCCTGTTGTGGGAAATAATAATATGCTGGACACTTTATATATGGCGCTCTTATTCTCTCCATACTTCGTAGACTGTTCTGGGGTCCCCCAATTGACAAATCCTTCCTCTTGTGGGTTCAGTGCTCTACCGGCACACCTGTCTTGTTGATTCTGCCGGTATCCGGCAGGACGGACGTGACTTTCAGCCCAGCCCTGACACTAAACATAAATCCCGCTAGATAGTAGAACTAAGCTGATTTGAATCATTGTGATTACGGTCATTCATTACATTCCCGTCTCTCCCTCTGACTCAGTCTGCCAGACTATGTGACAGGAACGAAGTTACGTAAGAGAAAGTATAGATCTGCGGATGTTTACATTGAAGTCTATGTATGGTATAAAAAAAATCAGTTTTGGATAGAGTAGGGAAGGGTTCAAACCCTTAGTGGGTTATGCTTTTTAGTGTGTGTCCTGCTGGGGGGGACTGCCCTTTACTTCCTGTCTTGGAAACACAACAGGAAGTGAGAGGAAATCTCCCAGCAGTAAAGGGAACCGCGCCGTAGAAAGTTGTCATCAGAAAATGTGTCCCCTTTGGTAGATGTGCCCTCACGTCTTGTTCTCATGACACTCTCTGATGAAGTGGGTTTGTGGTTGACCCCAAAACACATTGGCACTTCGATGCTTTTATCTCTACCGATATACAGGTGAAACTC